TTAATAAGTTAGGATGTTAGTTAGCAAAGCAAACGAATGCGACGACATTAGCATTAAGTGGGTTATTATTAGATACTAATTCTATTAGACATGCTACATTGCAGAATAGAGCAGCCATAGATTTTTTGCTTCTAGCACAAGGCTATAGGTGTGACGATTTTGAAGGTAGGTGTTGCATAAATCTGTCAGATCATTCAGAATCGGTGCATAAAAGCATTCAAATGTTAAAGGAAGGGTTCAAAAAGTTGCAAGTAGACAATGAATGAAATTGGTTGAACAATTTGTTATCTGATTGGGGAATTGGTAGATGGTTAGCTGCAATTGTTAAGACAGGATTAATAATATTGATCGTGATTTTTGTTATAGTATTCCGCGTTTATACTCTTGTCTGCAAAGGGCCCTGCAGAAGACGATAAACTCGGCATTTTTAATTGAAAAACAAAAAGGGGGAATTGTGGGAAACTTCTTGGAAAACAACGGACACGTACCGAAGGTCAACATGAAGGAGGAGATCACAGCACTGACACTGAAACTACTGCTACTCCCCAACAGATGCGGAATGTGTATTAATTAAAAGACTGACTTGGCAGAAATAGTAACAAAGTGTAGATAATAAGTTACAGCTGTGTTTAACCAATAATAGTTTGTGTGTATAAGTCTAGAAACCATTGAGCACAAGCCGCAGAGCTAGCCCATGTTGTAGTAAGGTATATAATGGCTTAAGTATTTTAATAAAGGGGCTTCAGCATTGATCATATTGGTCTGCATCTGAGTCCGTCCGCATCCCTCCAAGCTGCAAGGCTGACTTAGGCTACAGTCTCGATGCGTGCCAGGAAAAGCAAAAAAAAATCCCCTAATGGGATTCATTGTCTCTTGGGAAAAATAAAGGCAGACAAAAGACGACATGTAATACTGGACAAAACAAGTTACCACAGCATCGTATGACATCAATGGCTGCTTTGCAGAGCTTCTTAGGATAAGATTAACATGGTGCGCCCATTGTAATATAAGTTTCCTTGTTGGATTTTTAAATATAATTTGATTTGATCTCTTGGGGTTTATTAATCTGTTTTTCATTTGTTGGTTTTGCCAAGTAAAAACAATGAAGAATTCTAGTAAAGGCTATCATTCCTTCAATTTGAGAATCCTGTAAGTGGATGATCCTGCTGCCTCTGAATTTGCCCTGAAGAAGAACAGGGGATTTAATTAAGTCTCATCTTATCTTTCACTTAGACCTCATCATGTTAAAATTAAGTTATGCAAGAAATATCAAAGGTATCTTCCTCACTCAGTTCTCAACGTTTAACTAATGAGCACCCTGCAAGACTA